TATATCTCTTCTATCTATATATATCATCTCTCTCTCTCATATTCACCTTAAATTCTTTCTAATAAATTTATTATATATATACTCTATCTTCTCTATCTATCTATCTATTCATCGATATCTATATTTATTCTATCTTATATTCTCTATTTATCTATAGCTATATATATCTTAATCTATAGCTCTATATCTATCCGATATCTCTATCTATATGCTTTTCTACTATCTATCTCTCTCTTCTACGATCTATCTCTCTCTTATATATATACTTCATATATCTATATCTCATTCTCTCTATCTATCTCTACTTATCTCTATCTATATCTCTTCTCATCTATCTTATCTTATATCTCTATCTATCTCTCTCTCGTATCTTCATTCTCTCGTATATATCGTTCTATTACTATATCTATCTCTTATATATACATACTCTATATCGTATATATCTATATCTCTATAATTTCTATATCTATCTATCTATCTCTCTATCTATCTATATCATATCTAATATATATTTCATATTCTCTCTCTCTATATCTCTCGCTTCTCTATCGAATTCTATCTATATCTTTTACTATCTATACTCATTCTTCTATGTCTATCTATCTCTTCTCTGATCTCTCCATATCTCTTCTCTTATATATCGATTCTCTGTTTCTACTATCTCATCTTCTCTGTCTCTCTCTATCTTCTCTGTTCTACTCATATATCTTATCTGTCTCTCTATCTCTGCTATGTATCTCATCTCTTTATTATCATGTCTCTCTCATCTCTTCTCTGTCTTATCTACTCTCTTCTATGTCTCTCTCTCTATTCTCTGTTCTCTCTCTCTATTTCTGTATCTCTCTCTCTTCTCTGTCCTCTCTTCTATCTTTCTCTATCTCTTTCTCTCTCTTATCCATCTCTTTCCCGCTATTTCCATATCATCTACCATATTACTCTTCTCGATATTCTATCTCTCTATATATCATCCTATCTCTCTTCTCTCTCTTCTCTCTCATCCCTGACCCCCCCCCCCACCCACCCCACCCCTCTCTCTCATCTCTCTCTCTAATATCTCTAGTCTCTCTCTCGCCTCTATATATATGGTGTGTGTGTGTGTGGGTGTGTGTGTGTGTGTGTATATTTTACTATATGTACATTTCTCTATATTTAAACCACAAATGATATATTTATATAGTTGTACTATTTTTCATATCTCTATATATCTAGTATCTATAATATATATTATATATATATATTATATGTCTCTTTCTCTATATATGTATAATTTAATATATCTATGTCTCGTATTATATCTATCTGTCTATGGTCTAATTTATATATATATGTCTCTTTCTATATCATCTGTCTCTTTCTCTCTCTCTCTATCTGTCTCTTTATTTATATATCTATGTTCTTTTACTCATATATATATATGTATATTTATATATGTATATTTATATATATATATGTATATTTATATATATATGTGTATATTTATATATGTATATGTATATTTATATATATATAAATGTGTATATATATCCTCCTGTTTGTGCTTTTCCTCCTCCTCCTCCCGATTTGTCCTTGTCTTCATTTAACCCATTTGCGATGGGCTGTCACGTATACGTGACATTCCCACTGTGTATTTACTTGTTTTTTTATTGTTTTTACACATAGATCGATACACTTGTACTAAATCACCAATGAGCCACTTATGAGTACTGCCTGTCTCACCCGTTTACCCTTTTCTGAAAATATTTTACGTTCTCTTATTTTGCTATTACTATTGTTTATAACATTATAGTAATTATAATGTTTATAATAAAAATAACACCATTGATATTCATAGCACTAGTAAAAAATGCATTTTCCCGCCAATTCAAGGAAAGGTGAAATCAGGTAAGGCAGAGCCAGGTATGTATAGACACGTCACAAAAAATATAAAAAATGAGCACAGCATTTTCCCCATTTTTTTGTCGCAAATGGGTTTACTAGTTAGGAATGCAAAGCTAGGGAAAATAATCATGAAAGACTCCCACATTTGTTAATAGCTCAGGCAGAAGAGTGGGTGTGTTTAGCTGGTGAAAACTTGCTAGTCAACACCAGATGTATCAATTCACACACATTACATCTTATTCACATCAAGAGAGCGAGGCCTGAAAACAGCTTGCTAGTTCAAAACCACCTATGATCACTAACAGGAGAAAAATAGTTTAGATTCTTAGGCTTACAACATGAGTAGTTGTATTTTTATTGTTATAATGGTTGCATTTTCATTGTTACAATTAATATAATTCACTCAAAATAAAACCTTTAAAATAATTTGCAGGACTTTGAAGAAAATGGTTCCATGGAGAATGTGTGCTTGTTCCTGAACCTTGCCAATGACCCAACCATTGAGCGTATCATCACCCCTCGTCTGGCTCTGACGACTGCTGAGTATTTGGCTTACCAGTGTGAGAAGCACGTTCTCATTATTCTTACTGACATGTCATCGTATGCTGAAGCTTTACGTGAG